TGCTTCTCCCTCTGACCCTCCCCCCTCTCGTGTGCTCTCTCTGTCTCATTCTCTCTCTCAAATAAATAAATAAAATCTTTAAAAAAAAAATCTTTCAATATTAAATTTATTTTAAAACAGGAAAATGGATAAAAATAAAACATCACTCTTAGTGACATGAGGCAATTAATATTTTTAAGGTATTTGAAAATACTCTATTTTATATAGGTGCTTAGGTTCCATTAGGTATTTACTTTGTCTGTATATTTTTAAGTATTATATTAAAATTTTGAAAATGCTACTTGAAAAATCAATACTGTGCATTTCTCTAAAAGTATTATACACTTCAGAACATATTTTGCTCAATTTTATCTGAATTATATCATTATAGAAGCTAATGATATAGATAGACATAGATATAGATGATATAGATAGAGATATAGACAGAGCAAATGTATGCTCATGGAATTAAAATGAATTTTAGGATCATTAGTACCATTTGTATAATTTTATTGGCCTCACAATCTTGGTCATGAGCTTTAATTAGACTATGTATGTTTTGTTTTGTTTTTATTTTTTTAATAGCAATCTCCTGTGCAGTACCTAGCATTATACTTCATTTATAATATGGTAATTATTCAATATTTATTACATTGGGTTTAATGGACTGAAGATTCTATTTATAACCCTCCACTTCTGACATAGGATTATAAGAGGAAAAATGCTTGAATATTTCCTCTGCCTATATTTTACACATATAGACAGTTATTCAAAATCTTAACTTTGTTGAATTTGTTCAAAATAGACCATTCATTCATTCCTTATTCCCTCATTCAGTATGTATTTAATGAGTGCTTGCTAAGTGCCAGGTCTAGGCTTTGTTCGGGGATTATCTAGATGAATAAAACTAACAATCTCCTTTCTAAAAGCTTGGCATGTAATAGGGAACTGCAGTAGGAATGCAAGTAGTTGCACTTAAGGTAGAAAGTGTTATGTAAATGTCATAGAGAGATAAAGAATTTTGATAACTTTGAAGTGAGATACATCAGCAAATTATGATACAATGCAGAGAAAAACTCAAGTATTTCCATCTTCCAAACTTTTTTAAGATTTTATTACTTATCTGAGAGAGAGAGTGAGCAACTGAGAGAGCACAAGCAGGGACAGAGGGAGAAGAAGACTCCCCGCTGAACAGGGTGCCCAACATGGGGCTCAATCCCAGGGTCCTGGGATGATGACCTGAACCGAAGGCAGACTGAGCCACCCAGGAGCTCCTCCATCTTCCAATCTTCTAATTACCATTCATACACTTGGTAGATAAAATGGAGAATTACTAAAGAAATTAGCAACATCTTGAAAATTTATACACAAGGGTCCATGGATGATGGGATGATGGTCAAATTAGCTTTACTAAGAAAGCAAGAGAGGGTGTGTCTGGGTGGCAGAGTTGGTTAAGCCACTGACTCTTGGTTTTCAACTCAGGTCATGATCTCAAGTTTGGGATCTCAGAGTTGTGAGACTGAGCCCTGCGATGGGCTCCAGGCTCCGTGGAGTCTGCTTGAGATTCTCTTTCCTTCTCCTCTGACCTTCCTGTGCGTGCTCTCTCTCAAATAAATAAATAAATCTTAAAAAAAAGCAAGCAAGCAAGCAAGCAACAGAGAACACACTAGGAAAGGATCAAAAGTACATTTCATTGATAAATAGAGATACAAGGAATATATTCAGAATATGCTCTGAAACTCATAAACATATAATGCAATGCCTTCCAGCATCAAAGTATAGTCAAGAGGAAACCAAACTAGCATAATTTGGAATTCAGTTATATTGTTTTCTCATGAAATTAGCACATTTTATCTTAGTAATATATTCATTAGTTAAAAATGTGCAGGTTATCATCACACATAGCATATATTATTTTATATCTTTGATTCAATAATAGGCTAAAGTTACTTAATCATTTGGAATTTTTTTTTTCTTTCCCTGTAGTGATCCTAACTATGTAAAACAATCTAGAGACTGATAAAATATCAACCAATTTTTAGGCTGCATTTAGGCTACATAGTTATTACATTAAATTACATAATTACACATTTAAAAATTCCTATGATCTATGAAGGATATGCACATTTACTTCCACACTAAAGTAATATAACAAAAAATGTCAAACTGCTTTAAAAAGTCATTTTCTTGCACTTTCTCCTTCAAACTGAGTATTCTTTGCCTTTTTTTTTTTTTTAATCTCACAAACTTGTGATTCCAAACTCCTTTAGGCATTATTGGTTTTTCAGATGTACAGCACAAGCTTCAGTGAAAACACCCTCAAGTTTTTACCGTGAATGGTTTGGGGGCACAGTTCATGAAAATAGTTTTTCTAGCACTTGATAGTGAAGCAAATGAAGCATCATTTCAGGAATCACTTTGCCAGTTCCCCCAAATTTTACAATGACAAATATTAAGAACATAAGCTTTAATAGAGTCTTTAGTCAGAGCCAAAAAGGCCATGCTTAATATGAGGGCATTTTTAATGAATAGCATGGAATATGAACTACACAGAGTAGAGATTGCCTCAGAATACTTCATCCCGCCAGTTTCTGATTGCTTTAAACTAGTCTTTAATAAAAATGTAAACATATTTTAATTCTTGTTCTGATATACTTTTGTCATTTGTCCATATGTATTGAACATTTTAAAATCATAAACTGCAAATGACCATTGGATTGGATAAAGTGATAAAGCCATAGAGGGTTTCTAAGTTTCCACATCACAATACCAATGAGAGTAAAATTAGTGACTTCTTAAGCTCTGTATTTACTTCTTTTTTCTTCAAGATTTTTTTTGGGGAGAGGAGGATGGGGTGACACTTGACTGTCACATAAGTAGCTATCCAATGACCAAGTGACTGTTTCCTTTGTATTTGTCACCACTCATCCCCTTACGTTGCTCTTTCCAATTCAAAAAAGAAATTACATTTCTAGCCAGTGAGTGACCCATTCAAATTAGAGCCAAACGCAAGTTAGTAATATATATTTTCTTGCAAACAAAATGGCTTAAAGCCTCCATTTTCTTTCTTCTTTTTTTCTTTTTCTTTCCTTTTTTTTTCACTTTAGAGTAGATAATACAAATGGGGAAGCACTATTGAAATATTGAAACAGAACAAATGCAGGACACAAAGTTCATTTCTCCCCTCCATTCCCCTCACAAAATTCTTGAATCAGAACAGAGAGGCACCAAACTGTGGAAGGAACCAAGATGCCATCAACAGACAAATGGATAAAGAAGATGTGGTATATATATGCAATGGAATATTACTCAGCCATCAGAAAGGATGAATATCCACCATTTGCATCGATGTGGATGGAACTGGAGGGGATTACGCTAAGTGAAATAAGTCAAGCAGAGAAAGACAATTATCATATGGTTTCACTCATATGTGGAACGTAAGGAATAGCACAGAGGACCACAGGGGAAGGGAGGGAAAGCTGAATGGGAAGAAATCAGAGAGGGGGACAAACCATGAGAGACTCTGGACTCCGGGAAACAAACTGAGGGTTACAGAAGGGAGGGGCGGTGGGGGGATGGGGTAGCCGGGTTGGGCATGTGTTGGGATGAGCACTGGGTGTTATATGCAACTAATGAATCATTGAACACTACAATAAACCTTATGATGTTCTATATGCTGGCTAACTGAACATAATAATAATAATAAAAAAAGAGAACAGAGATGCAGAGAAGCTTGACATCACCTAGTATTTCAAAAGCATATGAAAGCATGACAAAACTTAAGACAACTGCCAATGATATTAATAACTCCAATAAAAAATTAAAAAGATATCCCATTATATGCAGAGCTGGATGTCCCCAGGAATCTGAGCAATATTTTAGAGA